TCGAGAGGATGCTGTGCCCCATTGAGGAAAATGTGGGGAGGAATGGAGTCAGGGAGGGAAAGCAGGGCCTCTCAAGTCCCCTTCTCCTCCTTCTTTCTCCTTCTTCTTCTCCCCATTCCACCCTCGGGGCCTCAATGGCCGCCCTCAAGCCATTCCGCAAAGCCGCAGGAATAACGCTGAGGGAAACATTCCTCCTTTTCTCCGGATGAGAAGGGCGGAGGCAAGGCTCGATCCGAAGCCGAGAAAGGGGAGGCCGTGGAGGCCCGGAAAAAGAACAGCATGAGCTTGTGTCAGAGGAAAGTGTGTGTAGTGCGAGAGAAAAAGGTATAAAACATAGAGCAGGACATGGAAAACCATTCATACATTATTTCTCTGTTCTGAGTGCCTTGCAAACATGCTTCATCCTACACTATAGATTTAATACCAACGAGAGATGTAGTTTCACGAAGTATTTAGCCTTCTCTGACAAAGTGTACTGGTGGCCTCAGCCAAATGAGAATTTCCATGATTCCATAGCAATAGCAACTGTTATGCCTCAGAGCTATGGGAGATGTAGTTTCACAAAGAGAGCTAGTTCCTAACCAAACTACATGTCCCAGGGCTCCATAAACATGAACTTATGGCAGTTAAGCCTAACCCTACACTGACTGTCATGCCTCAATGCTACAGGAGATGTAGTTTCACATGACAGAGAGCTGGTGCCTAACCAAACTATATATTCCGGGGTTCCATAAACATGAACTTATGGCATTTAGGCCTAACCCTACACCGCATCTTTGACATCACTTTGACTGTCATGCCTCAATGCTATGGGAGATGTAGTTTCACATGGCAGAGAGCTCGTGTCTAACCAAACTATATATCCCAGGGTTCCATAAACATGAACTATGGCAGTTAGGCCCAACCCTACACTGCATATTTGACACCACTTTGACTGTCTTGCCTCAATGCTATGGGAGATGTAGTTTCACATGACAAAGAGGGGTAGTTCCTAACCAAACTGGATATCCCAGGGTTCCATAAACAGGAACTTATGGCAGTTAGGCCTAACCCTACACTGCATATTTCACACCACTTTGACCATCATGCCTCAATGCTATGGGAGATGTAGTTTCACATGACAGAGAGCTGGTGTCTAACCAAACTTCCATGGATTGCTGTCAGTTTTCTGGGCTGTATGGCCATGCGTTCCAGAAGAATACATACTGTCCAGAAAACTCACAGCAACCCAGTGATTCCTGCCATTAAAGTCTTCGACAACACATTAAACGTCCATGATTCCATAGCCTTGAGTCATGGCAGTTAGGCGTCATCCTACACTGGAAAATTAAAGCACTTTGACAACACTTGTAACTGCCGTGATTCAATGCAATGGAATGCTGGAAGTTGTAGCTCTGACTCACCAAATTACAACTCGCAGGATTCCTGAGCTAGAACACTTAAAGTGATCTCAAACTGCATTAATTCTACAGTGTAGATGCACCATCAGGCAGCCTCGAAATGCACGTGGAAGAATAAGGAAAAAGGAGGAAAAAGAGGAGGAAAAAGTCAATGCACAAATATAGTACAGCTAAGTTGTTGAAGAATACCTTCCTGCAAAAGAGGAAAGAGAAGTAGTGGAAAAACTGGGTGAAAGGGAGAAAAAAAGAAAAGAAAGAGGAGAAAGTCATACAAGAAGGGGAAGAACATAGCATGATGAATGAAGGAGGGAATGGGAAAAAAAGAAAGAAAGAAGAGGGGGAAGAGGGAAGGAGGCATGTAGTCACTTAGGGCACATCTACAGTGTTAAATGTATGCAGTTTGACACCCCTTTAACTGGAGCTGTAGTTTGCTGAGGCATCAGCAGCCTTGGCAGAAATGGCCGAAGACCTTGTGAAACTACAACTCCCACGACCCCATAGCAGTATAAGTGATGTCGAGCTAATTTAATGCTACAGATGCACCCATAGCAGTCTATGGGAAGAGCAACACTATGTAACACAATATTTGTTCCTGAGTTATAAATACAATTTCCTAATTGGTCCTATAATAAAAACATGGGAAAAGTTTATTAAACTCCAAAAACTTTGTTTTTGCGGCACATTTGGTGATAGTTTTTCAATGATTATCTCATAAGAGTCTCAACCAATTCAACTTAGTTTGTGGCAGCCACAAAAATGAAGTTAATGGACTTTTAAAGTACATACCGCAGAATTAATAATAATAATACTAATAATAAATTAATAAATTTATTATTATTATTATTATTATTATTATTATTATTATTATTTAATAATAAAGAATTATATAGGAAATAACAATTTCAAACCACAACCAGAAAAATGTTCAAATTTGGTTACATAGTGTAATTTGAGCACAAATGTCGTCTGGTTTAGGAAGCTAAACAGGGCCAGTCCTGGTTTGCATTTGGAGGGGAGACAATGTTGAGAAAGGAACAAAATTGGCAAAACCAACCCTGAAGAATAATCCTTGTCTAAGGCTGTGTCTACACATGGTTGAATTAAGGCAGTGTGACACCACTTGAAGTGCCAGGGCTCAATGCTTTGGAATCTTTGGGAGTGGTAGTTTGGGGAGGCCTTGTCCAACCACAACATGGGTCACCTTCCAAAACTACAAATTCAACAGAAAGGAGGAAAACATGAAAATGAACAAAATCTGGCTACCAGTATTAAAAAAAAAAAAGACAGAACACTCAACACTCAGAAAACAGAGGAATTCCAGACAGGAAACAATCAGGGCCAACTAACACCTCCCAACAAAGGATTCCCCCAGACAGGAAGCAGCCAGGCTTTGAAGCTGAAAGGTGAATAAATGCTAATCAAGGTGGCCAATTGTAAACATTCCCACTTGCCTCAAGCAGACAAGAGTTCTTTCTCCCACTCTGGACATTCCACAGATATATAAACCCCACTTGCCTAGTTTCCAACAGACTTCACAACCTCTGAGGATGTCTGCCATAGATGTGGGCTAAACGTCAGGAGAAAATGCTTCTGAAACATGGCCAGACTGCCCAGAAAACTTACAACAACCCAGTGATTCCAGCCATGAAAGCCTTTGACAATACATTAAAACACCATAGTGTTAGCTGGCCCTGATTTATTCTTGTCACCCTCAACCTCTGAGGATGCCTGCCATAGATGTGAGTGAAACATCAGGAGAAAATACTTCTGAAATATGGCCAGACAGCCTGGAAAACTCACTACAACCCAGTGATTCCAGCCACGAAAGCCTTTGACAATACATGAAAGCACCATAGTGTTAGCTGGCCCTGATTGATTATTTTCATCCTCAACCCAGTGATTCCAGCCATGAAACACAATAGTGTTCGCTGGCACTGACTCATTCTTGTCACCCTCAACCCCTGAGAATGCGTGCCACAAATGTGGGCAAAATGTCAGGAGAAAATGCTTCTGGAACGTGGCCAGACAGCTCAGAAAACTCAGAACAATCGAGTGATTCCAACCATGAAAGCCTTCGACAATACATTAAAACACCATAGTGTTAGCTGACCCTGATTTATTCTTGTCACCCTCAATCTCTGAGGATGCCTGCCATAGATGTGGGTGAAACGTCAGGAGAGAATGCTTCTGGAACATGGCCAGACAGCCTGGAAAACTCACAACAACCCAAAGACTCTGGCCATGAAAGCCTTCGACAGTATATTAAAACACCATAGTGATTGATTTCTGCCACCTTCAACCTCTGAGGATGCCTGCCACAGATGTGGGTGAAACGTCAGGAGAGAATGCTTCTGGAACGTGGCCATACAGTCCTGAAAACTCACAACCGAGTGATTCCAGCCATGAAAGCCTTCGACAGTATATTAAAACTCCATAGTGTTAGCTGGCCCTGATTGATTCTAGTAACCCTCAACCCAGCTATGAAAAACCATAGTGTTAGCTGGCCCTGGTTGATCCTTGTCACCCTCAATCTCTGAGGATGCCTGCCATGAAAGCCTTCGACAGTATATTAGAACCCCATAGTGTTAGCTGGCCCTGAGTGATTCTAGTAACCCTCAACCCAGCTATGAAAAACCATAGTGTTAGCTAGCCCTGGTTGATTCTTGTCACCCTCAATCTCTGAGGATGCCTGCCATGAAAGCCTTCGACAGTATATTAGAACCCCATAGTGTTAGCTGGCCCTGATTGATTCTAGTAACCCTCAACCCAGCCATGAAACACCATAGTGTTAGTTGGCCCTGGTTGATTCTTGTCACCCTCAATCTCTGAAGATGCCTGCCATGAAAGTCTTCGACGGTATATTAAAACACCATAGTGTTAGCTGGCCCTGATTGATTCTAGTAACCCTCAACCCAGCTATGAAAAACCATAGTGTTAGCTGGCCCTGGTTGATTCTTGTCACCCTCAATCTCTGAGGATGCCTGCCATGAAAGCCTTCGACAGTATATTAGAACCCCATAGTGTTAGCTGGCCCTGATTGATTCTAGTAACCCTCAACCCAGCCATGAAACACCATAGTGTTAGTTGGCCCTGGTTGATTCTTGTCACCCTCAATCTCTGAAGATGCCTGCCATGAAAGTCTTCGACGGTATATTAAAACACCATAGTGATTTATTTCTGCCACCCTCAATCTCTGAGGATGCCTGTCACAGATGTGGGCGAAACGTCAGGAGAGAATGCTTCTGGAACGTGGCCAGACAGCCGGGAAAACTCACGGCCACCCAGAACTACAAATGTCCGGATCCTTTCTTGAGCCCTGTGTTCATTCCCCAGTGTGTAGCTGCACCCTATAAGAAAATCCACAGAAATTCAGAAGATGGGCTTGAAGAAAGGAAGGGGGTGCATCAAAGAGAGGGAGAGAAAAAGGGGAGACGTGGAAGGGAAGAGTCAAGGAAGGAAGGAAGGAAGGAAGGAAGAAGGGATGAGAAAAGAAAAGGAGGGAGGAAAGGAGGAAGGAAAAGGCGCGGGCGTGGAGGCGACATTCTGGGGAGAAGCGGTTCCCTCCCTGCCCGGCTTCCTCCCCAGTGAGTGCCTTCTTACCCAGGTCGTCCATCCCGCTGGGCCGGTGCGGAGGGGTCTCCCCAAACTCCCTCTTCGGTGCTGCCTGGCTTTTGGGCGGCGCCCCCCGCCCCAGTGACGCGCCTTCCCGGAGCGAGGCAGCCCCACGGCAGCAGCGGCAGCCTTTCCTTCTCCTCCTCCTCCTCCTCCTCCTCCTCCTCCTCCGCCTCCTCCTCCTCCTCCTTCTCTGTGGGTGACCATTTATGGCAAAGGGGATGCGAGCCTCCCTGGGAAAGATGCCCAGGCGCCCCTTCGCCTCCCACAGGGCCAGGGCTCCCCATCTCCTCCACGCCCACTCCCCAAAAACATCCAGCTCAGCTCCTCCTCAGTCCCAGGACAGGACAAGGGGAACACAGGGAGCGAAATGAGAGCACAGACTTGTTGTAGGTTTCTTCGGGCTATATGGCTATGTTCCAGAAGCATTCTCTCCTGACGTTTCGCCTGCATCTATGGCAGGCATCCTCAGAAGTTGGGAGGTCTGTTGGAAACGATGGCAGGAAGCAGCAGGGCTTTGAAGCTTCACGGCTATTCAATGCGAATCAAGTTGGCCAATTGCAACATTCCCACTTGCCTCTAACAGACAAGAATTCTTTCTCCCATCCTGGGAGCAGCACTAAAAAAACAGGGGAATTCCAGACAAGAATTAATCAGGGCAAGCTAACACCTCCAATGATTCCCCCGGGCAGGAGGCAGCCAGGCTTTGAAGTTGGAAGGCGATTAAATGCTAATCAAGGTGGCCAATTGCAACATGCCCACTTGCTTCTAACAGACAAGAGTTCTTTCTCCCACCCTGGGGACAGAACTAAAAAAACCCCAGGGGAATTACAGACAAGAATCAATCAGGGCCAGCTAACACCTCCAAACAAAGGCTTTCCCCCCAGACAGGAAGCAACCAGGTTCAGAAGCTGCAAGGGCATACAACGCTAATCAAGCTGGCCAATTGCAACGTTCCCACTTGCCTCTACAGACAAGAGTTCTTTTTCCCACCCTGGGAGCAACACTCAAAATACAGGGGAATTCCCGACAAGAATCAATCAGGGCCAGCTAGCACCTCGAAACAAAGAATTTCCCCAGGCAGGAAGCAGCCAAGCTTTGAAGCTGCAAGGCCATTCAATGCTAATCAAGCTGGCCGATAAAACATTCCCACTTGTCTAACAGATAAGAGTCCTTTCTTCCAGCCTGGACATTCCACAGATATATAAGCATCACTTGCCTAGTTTCCAACAGACCTTACAACCTCTGAGGATGCCTGCCATAGATGTGTGTGAAACATCAGGAGAGAATGCTTCTAGAACATGGCCATATAGCCCAGGGCACACTATGAACCCAAACTGGCTGCAGGATAAATTACAACTCCCACAAACCCAGTATTTTGAGTTTGTCATGGGGGTTCTGTGGGTGAACTTCAACTCCCAGAAAAGAAGGCCAGTTCCTCCACCCCCCACCCCTCCAGTAATCAAATTTTGACATATCAAGTTTGTGTGACAAGTTTTCTCCAGATCCATCAGTGTTTGGGTTCACAGAGCTCTCAGTGTAGGTGAAATACAATTCCCCGAAATCAAGGTGAATTTCTCCCAAAGATAATTTTTTTCCAGGTCATGAGGCTCCGTGTACCAACTGCAGTCCAATTCCATCTTTAGTGAAGTTCAGAGTGTTCTTTGATTGTAGGTGAACTATATATCCCAGTACCTACAACTCCAAAACGCCTAAGCCAATTCCCCTCTGAACCCTGCAATATTCAAATGTGGGCATATTGGGTATGCATGCCAAGTTTGGTCCAGATCCATCATTGTTTGGGTTCATAGTGTGCTCTGGATGTAGGTGAACAACAATTCCTATAAATGTATTGTCAAAGGCTTTCATGGCCGGAATCACTGGGTCGTTGTAAGTTTTTTCTGGGCTATATGGCCATGTTCTAGAGGCATTTTCTCCTGACGTTTCGCATGCATCTATGGCAAGCATCCTCAGAGGTAATGAGGACCTCACTACCTCTGAGGATGCTTGCCATAGATGCAGGCGAAATGTCAGGAGAAAATGCCTCTAGAACACCGCCATATAGCCCAGAAAAACCTACAACAACCCAATTCCTATAAATCATGGTATATTCTTCCCAAATTTTTTGTTCAGTTGCTGACCAATTCCTGTTTGCTGTGTGCCATAGGAAAGGTTAGGAAAGGGTTAAGGGGGCAGTGGGCAGGGTCATGCAAATTTCGCACCCATGGAGAGGAACCCTGGGATGTCCATTCTGGAAGAAAAATGCAACTGTCACTGAATGAAAGCCTTCATTTGGGAGGCAGCAAGTATGGTGTTTGGGGAGGACATTAGCAATGTTTGGGCTACACATACATGGCACCCGCTGTAACTTGAAATGTCCTTGGAGGGAGGGCTTTGGGGGTTTTTTTGGCATGTCAGGAGTGACTTGAGAAACTGCAGTCTGCAAGGACGTTGCCCAAGGGACGCCCGGATGATTTGATGTTTTATCATCCTTGTGGGAGGCTTCTCTCATGTCCCCACATGAAGAGCTGGAGTTGATAGAGGGAGCTCATCCGCCTCTCCCCGGATTCAAACCTGTGACCTGTTTAACCCACTGTGCCACCAGGGGCTCCTGAGGGCTTTGGTGGCTCCTCAACCCTGTCGGTTATAGCTGTTTGTGGAGGTGGGAGCCTGTCTGTGTAAATGGACACTTCTGTCACATACACACATACAGATTTTTATGTGATGTATGTGTGTGTGTGTAAATAGATAAAAATATTATGTGTATAGGTTTATCGTTTCAGATGCAAATTGAGAATACAGTTATAATGTATAAAAAAGCAAAGTTAAAAACTTGGCATTTTACAAAATGTCCTTTGACCAGAAGTTGGCCACTTGGCATGTCTCTAGTGTGGCTGTGAGAAGGTCCTTCATTGTGCATGTGAGCTGCATTGTAGTAAGCAGTCTGTGGTTTGCTCTTCACACTCACATGTCATGGACTCCACTTTGTAGCCCCATTTCTTAAGGTTGGCTCTGCATCTCGCGGTGCCAAAGCACAGTCTTTTCAGCGCCTTCCAAATTGCCCAGTCTTCTGTGTGCTCAGGAGGGAGTCTCTCATCCGATCTCAACATGTGATGCGAAGACATGTTTGTGTGTGAAAGAGAGAGGCCTTTTCCTTTAACTTTGCCAACCCTTTGATATCATTTGTGCTGATAAAACCTAGCAACCTGCAGATAATAAAGCAGGGAAGCAAGAGATGCAATTCCTGAGTCCAATCAGGGTCACAAGGTCTTTGGACAGAGATGGCTTTTGGCTAAGATGCAGCTGGAATTCGGGAAGCACAAAGGGGAAGAGAGAACTGAATCTTCTAACTGCAAAAAATTATTTGATTTGAGCGGATGAAAAACAGGATATAAATGGCAGAGACATAAAATGTTGGAGAAACAGCCACTAGAGCCACTTGAGTTGACCAAGGGCTGAGAAAAGCGGTATATAAATGAAATAAATAATAATAATAATAATAATAATAATAATAATAATAATAATAATAATAGAGATATTGAGAGTACTGATAGTAGCAACAGTAAGAATTGACCATGGAACACCAGACTGGTACAAGATCGGGAAAGGCATACGGCAGGGTTGTATACTCTCACCCAGCATATTCAACGTGTATGCAGAACACATCATGCAATGTGCGGGGCTTGACGAATGCAAGGCTGGAGTTAAAACTGCTGGAAGAAACATTAACAACCTCAGATATGCAGATGATACCACTTTGATGGCTGAAAGCAAGGAGGAGCTGAGGAGCCTTCTAATCAAGGGCAAAAGCTGGGTTGCAGTTAAACATAAAAAAACCAAGATTCTGGCAACCAGACTGATTGATAACTGGCAAACAGAGGGAGAAAACAAGGGGGCAGTGGCAGACTTTGTATTTCTAGATGCTAAGATTACTGCAGACACAGACTGCAGCCAGGAAATCAGAAGATGTTTACTTCTTGGGAGGAGAGCAATGACCAATCTCGATAAAATAGTGAAGAGTAGAGACATCACACTGGCAACGAAGATCCATATAGTTAAAGCAATGGTATTCTCCATAGTAACCTATGGATGTGAGAGCTGGACCATAAGGAAGGCTGAGCGAAGGAAGATAGATGCTTTTGAACTGTGGTGTTGGGGGAAAGTTCTGAGAGTGCCTTGGACCACGAGAAGATCCAACCAGTCCATACTTAAGGAAATAAAGCCCTGCTGCTCACTGGAGGGAAAGATATTAGAGGCAAAGATGAAGTCCTTTGACCACATCATGAGGAGAAAGGAAAGTTTAGAGAAGACAATGATGCTGGCTGGGGGAAATGGAAGGAAAAAGGCAGAGGGGCCAATCAAGGGCAAGATGGATGGATGTTATCCTTGAGGTGACTGGCTTGACTTTGAAGGAACTGGGGGTGGTGACAGTCGACAGGGAGCTCTGGCGTGGGCTGGTCCATGAGGTCACGAAGAGTCAGAAGTGACTGAATGAATAAACATCAATTAGTATTACCGTAAATCAGTACCAGGTAAAGATGAGTGAGGGAGTAATGTCCGCCATAATAATTTCAAAGTATATCCTGAAGTGTTAGAATTTCACTTACCATTCTCAGTGTTTAGAAGCAGAAAAATCATGGTAAGCTTGGCACATGCATATTGTCAACGTAAGTTAGTTAAGGATAGTCCAGGGAGGCCCTGTTTCCTATCAGCTCAGTCCACTCAGTTTTTCCCCTAAAAGGCAAACAGTAGGAGGAGAGCATAGTTCCAAGTGGTGCACTGCTTCTGGGGAAGACCCATGTGCGAATCCCCACTTGGCGTGAAGTTTGTTTTTAAGGTGTTACAAGATCCTTTTCGCATACCCTTCCTCACTGTTCATGAAGGGACCTCTTAACCTCCACACCCTTCCTTGCGTAAACCATTTTATCTGGTCAGAATGATCTCTCCCCAACTTTGGAAAATTATTTCCAATCGATACAGGTAATGTTGACTTACACAAGTAGTCTGAAATGATATCAAGCAGCATCCAATGTAATTATGAAGCTCCTGAACTTGTGGGGCGGAAGTGTCCCATGGTACATTCTGATCACCTACCTTCCACATCACCTCAACCTGCATCCTTGTGTAAACCAGGGTAATGTGACAAAATTATACCAGTTCAAATTAAAGTGACTCTCAGGATTGGAAAGAGAATGTATATCAATATACTTTAAAGTGATTCTGAATGTTAAAAGTGGAGGTTAGGAATCACACAGCCTTCTAGATCAGTGTTTCTCAATCTGGGAGTCAGGATCCCTGGGGGAGGAGGTTGCAAGGGAAGTGTAAGAGGGATTGCAAACAACCATCAGAAAATATATTTTCTGTTGGTCATGGGGGTTCTGTGTGAGAAGTTTGGCCCAATTCTATCTTGGTTGGGATACAGAATGCTCTTTAATTGTAGGTGAACTATAAATCCCAGCAACTGCAAGGTGTATTTTCCATAAATTCCACCAGTGTTCACATGTGGGCATATTGGGTATCTGTGCCAAGTTTGGTCCAGATCCATCATTGTTCGAGTCCACAGTGGTCTCTGGATGTAGGTGAACTACAACTCCAAAACTCAAGGTCAATGCCCACCAAGGTTTTCCCTTGACATTAAGTCCAGTCATGTCCAACTCTGGGGTGTGGTGCTCATCTCCATTTCTAAGCCGAAGAACCGGCGTTGTCCATAGACACCTCCAAGGTCATGTGGCAGGCATGACTGCATGGAGCGCCGTTACCTTCCCGCCGGAAGCTCACTCCATTCCCTGGATTTAAACCTGCAACCTTTCAGTCAACAAGCTCAGCAGCGCAGCAGTTTAACTCACTGCGCCACCGAGGCTCACAATGCCTACCAAACCCTTCCAGTATTTTCTGCTGGTCATGGGAGTTCTGTGTGACAAATTTGGTTCAATTTCATCGTTGGTGGAGTTCAGAATGCTCTTTGGTTGTAGGTGAACTATAAATCCCAGCAACTACAACTCCCAAATGATAAAATCAATCCTCCCAACCCCACCAGTATTGAAATTTGCATCAGATATTTGTTCCACATTTGATCCCGTGAAGGAAAATACATCCTGCATATCAGATATATACATTACGATTCATAACAGTAGCAAAATTGCAGTTGTGAAGTAGCAACAAAAATAATTTTAAGGTTGGGGGTCACCACATAAGGAACTGTATTAAGGAGTCTCAGCATTAGGAAGGTTGAGAACCAATGTACTAGATGGTGATGAATTGCAACTTCCAGCATTTCTCCATTGATTAAAGTTTATGGTACCTGCAGATCAGTCTCACCTGAATGAAGGACCACAAAATTCCTACTTTTCTTTCAGTTTGGTGGTTTGAATGTTGGACTACAACTCTAGGTCAGATTCCTCACTCAACTCCAAAATATCCTGTGATAGGATCGGCATAAGTCAGAAATGACTTGAAGACTCACAAGAATAATCAAGTATTACTGCAGATGAAGGGACTTCCACAACCCTGATAGCTTGGAACTGAACATTAGTTCTGGATACAGTTTTGTGTTTGTGACCACCCAATTTCTGAATTTTCTAAAACACAAGTCTTCTTGTAAAGATTTGGGCACAAAATGGCACTAGCTGTCATGAAAAATATCAGCTGTTCAGTGGGATTGGCACTGCCGCAGATGTAAACAGACTTCCAATGTCCCAAAATTGTTTCTGAATTTCCTGTGTATTCAAACAAAAACAAAATAACACAGGTCAGGTGTCAAATTGCTCAATCTGGATTGCTTCTGCATGCAATTGGTTTGAATAAACGTTGGAGCCATTTCTGCTGTTTCTCGTCGCAATGCTTTTTGGAACAGCTGGTCATTCTGAACCGAAGCAGGAAAAAGTGGTAGGAAATGGGTTGCTGTGAGCTTTCTGGGCTCTGTGGCCATGTTCCAGAAGCATTCTCTCCTGATGTTTCAGGAGCCTCAGCCTCAGGCCCTTTCCTTTTCCCCCTCAGCCGCTTAAGGGCTGAGGGGGGAAAGGAAGGGGCCTGAGGACAGGTGGATTGGGCAAAACATCAGGAGAGAATGCTTCTGGAACATGGCATAAAGTTAGTTCAGAAAACTCACAGCAACCCAGTGATTGAAGTCATGAAAGCCTTCAACAACACATGGTAGGAAATGTTTCTCACATGCTCAGGAACTGTAGTGGGACCAGGAAGTGATCAAGTGGAGAAAACAGTAATACAGAATAGTCTATATATTGTTTCAAGCATCCCATGGGGAAAAGAGATGATGGATACTGTGAACCATATAAGCAGTAAAAATACATTCAGCAGTGTGTCTTCTGACACTCAATGAATTCTGTGGAAAAACCAGCTGTCAGCCAGCCTGTAAAGATGGTGTACAGAGAACAGGACAGATAGGAGAGCAGTCAGTGGGAAGAGAACTTTCTTCTATCCCATCCTATTTGGACAGGACTTATAGGAACCAGGCATTCAGGAAGTGGTTCCTCTCTCCCCCCCCCCCCCCAAACCTCTCAAGTTCCCCATACCATCTGGATGCAGTTAGAAACAGGCGTTTCCTGTTCTTAGTGTAGAAAGGAGGTGGAGGGGAGGAAGGGGAGAGACTAAGGAAAGGACTTTCAACTCAATTCAAAGGAAAATGACTGCTATGAGAGGGTAAAGTGAAATCCCCACCACTGGAGAAATAAGCAAAAGGAAAAAAACCCTGTCTACTTTAAAGGGGTAGCTTTGCAGGTGTAAAAATAAATTGCCTTGCTACATCTATACTTCAATCAAGTGATGTTCAACTCCTGAGTCCTCGTAGACAACAAGTTAAACATGAGCCAACAATGTCATGTAGCGGCAAAAAAAGCCAATGGGAGTTTGACCTGCATCAATAGGAGCAGTGTCTAGATCTAGGGAAGTCATGCTACTCCTCTATTCAGCCTTGGTTAGACCACACCTGGAATATTGCGTCCAATTCTGGGCACCACAATTCAAGAGAGATATTGACAAGCTGGAATGTGTCCAGAGGAAGGCGACTAAAATGATCAAGGTTCTGGAGAACAAACCCTATGAGGAGCGGCTTAAAGAGCTGGGCATGTTTAGCCTGAAGAAGAGAAGGCTGAGAGGAGATATGATTAGCCATGTATAAATATGTGAGAGGAAATCACAGGGAGGAAGGAGCAAGCTTGTTTTCTGCTTCCCTGGAGACTAGGACGCGGAACAATGGCTTCAAACTACAAGAAAGGAGATTCCATCTGAACATGGGGCTCTTCCTGACTGTGAGAGCCATTCAGCAGTGGAACTCTCTGCCCCGGAGTGTAGTGGAGGCTTCTTCTTTGGAAGCTTTTAAACAGAGGCTGGATGGCCATCTGTCAGGGTGCTTTGAATACAATATTCCTGCTTCTGGGCAGGGGGTTGGACTGGATGGCCCATGAGGTTTCTTCCAACTCTCTGATTCTATGATGTTTAGAAAGTTTGCTTCTAAATGACAGCAGAATGCTCCATTTTGCAGACAACCCATTTCTGTTCATTCTCGCCCTGTAAGATGCCAAAAGCTCCCATTTCTTGAGTGACAGACATAAAACAAATCCACAGACAGTTTAGCACCTCTTTATCATCTGTATTTTTCTTATTTATAATCACTTACATGTTTTACAGCCCCAGAGGGATGACTAGGTCAAGCCCCCTCTACTCATTTGAGAATCTCTTAGAAAGATTCCTTCTGACATTTTCTTGTTTTCACACACCTGAGGGAAGCAACGCAGCAGGCGATTTTCAGTAGTATGGTGACACCCTGAATACCTTCAGCCTTGCCCCTCCAACCCACAAGACTCTGCTTCCTGCGGTTTTCCACATCATGGCTCTTCCTAAAAGCCACTAAGAAGTTTTCCCAATCTATTAGCTACAAGTGATAGTCACTCCTGGAATATCTGCTGTGAGGACTCATGTACGTGTTGTATTTCCAAAACGCGGTTCTTTCCTGGCATGCTACAAACCAGGAAGGGGGACTTTTTAAATGCCAATTTCATTAAAAATGGGGTTGGATTTTTTTTTATAATTCTTCCTAGGAATATTTTTTTCCTTCCTCACCCCTTAGGGCATTTGCTACTTCGGATGAGAACCTGAAGCCACCATTCAACATCCACTTCCTCTGCCCCTCCTGTAGTCAGTCCTGCATCTTCTCTGTCTTGTTCTATCCCCTAAACAGTGACCTCTACTCAAAGTTTAGAAATATTATATTTGGGGGTGGGGGATAATACTCAGAATCTCAACTGGCATGGCTTGAAGGATCTAGGAGTTGTAGTCCAAAAAAGTAGCTCGGTTATGCTCTGTTCTTACTACTGCATAGACATACAACCTTTTCAAAGGATGCTTATTGCTATATGATCCTCCCCACAGATTAATCCCTGTGGTATCCATCACCTGACCCACACTACCGTTTCTTTAAGCACTATTCCATTTATTCTCCCAACATTCAGGCTGGCGTTGTGTTGATGTGTCACATTACCACACTGGTACTTGCCAGCGAGCAACTAGCAGGGGGAAGACAGGACAGAGTGCATGTATGTTCATGAATCTGTCAACCCAGCTAACTCTCGGAACCAGAGCCCCATGGGGACTCCACTACCACCTGGAGCAGCTCCTCAGACAACCCAGTCAGGTCACCAGCTGATCGGAGCAGCTCAGCTAAGCCAGCGGCTCGACAGAATGGGTCTGAAACCTCCTGAATCATGTAGTTGATACACCGCCGGAGAAGGTGGGGACGATTCTGTTGTTCAGCCAAATGGTAAACTTCACCTAGAGTCCCCAGGCGCATAAAGTCCCGGCACAATGCATCATCCACAAGAGACTGCAGTCCTGGAAGGAGATACTGTTCGGCGACTGTGAAAATCCCCTCAGCTAAAGAGAGAGGGAATGGCACACCTAACACTGGGCAGGGCTTGCCACGGCAGCCGTGGAGGAAGTGCGTAAGAGCAAGGAACGGTTCTGCTGCCACCCCATGAAGTGTCACTGTGTTGCGGTTTGACTCAGCGAACCCTCCGCTCAGCATGGCGTGGAAGACTTCAGAGGCCTCACTAATGGCCTGGCGTGAGGCCAGCACCGTGAGACCAGAATCGAGTTGGAAATGTAAGTCAGCCCTGCCTTCCTCTGTGAGGAGGGAATAAGAGCAGGGCAGTGGGGAATCCAGGCGGGGCCGCTTCAGGGCGGGAGATGAGACCCGGGCAGGACTTTGGGAAGGGGCCCGCAGGAGGAGGGAGAGGGAATCAGATGCATAGAAGATAAAAACTGGATCTGGTTCTCGCCCCAGGGCTCCTAGAAAGAGGCGCAGGCCAGAGAGGTCCAGCAGCAGTTTCCGGCAAAGGGAATCCTTCCTGTGGCAAGAAAAGAAAAGCGTCACACCCTTGGCTTTTAAGGAAGCCTCTTCAAAATTTAGACCAACATGAATGTAATTCTATTAACAAGGTTGGAGATTAAGATCTTCTGGGGAGGCCCTGCTCTCGGTCCCACCTCCTTCACAGGTGCGGCTAGTGAGGCAAGAGTCGGCGCCTTCTCAGTGGTGGCTCCTTGACTGTGGAAATCCCTTCCTAGTGATGGGAGATCAGCCTCCTCCCTCCTGGCATTTAGAAAACAAAATCCAGGCTTTGGAACCAGGCGTTTGGAAACTAGCTACAAGGCAACAGATAGCTGGGAATCAATGTGAATGTATTTGGAATGACTCGTGGACTCTGGTTGTTTTAACTGCTGTTTTACATTAAGTTTTAATTGTATTTATATGTGATTTTTTATGCTTAATGTATTTATAATCTGTTATGTTTATGTTTTGATGTGACATCAAATTGTGCCAAGTTGTAAGCCCTTGTGGTGAGATAGGGCAGGATAGAAATACGATAAATAAATAAATAACCATATGTTCATTTCCCCCTAAATTTCTCAGAACCATATAATTGCTCAATCCCAGCAGTAATACACAATTTCTTCCCAGTATCTCCACATACTATTTGTGGGTCTTTCAAAAATATAAAAACCAACGTGAATTAGACCTAAAGCTTATCTAGTTCGGCATTCTGTCTCCAGTGGGGCTCAGTACAGATTTCGGGAAAGCCCGCAATCACAAAGATTAAACACCCTCCCACTTGTAATTCTCAGCAACTGACATTGGTTAAAAGGCACACTGCTTCTGATATCAAAGATAGAATGATTCGGGGGCAGCAATAGCTTTATCCTCTGTGAATTTATCTCAATGCCTTTAAAATCTGCTCAAGCTGGTGGCCACCTTTTGGAAGTGAGTGCCACAGTTCTACAGTCTGTGAAATACTATTTGAGATTTCTCTCATCCTTTTTTAAGAGTAAGCAAAACCCTCCTACATATCACACTTTTTATTAAAAACTAGCCGTCCCCTGCCTCGCGTTGCTGTTGCCCAGTCTGTGTATATGTGTTTTTCGTGTGTATATGTGTGTATTTTTATATTTTTGTGTATATGTGTATTTATGTGGTTATGTGCATGCGTTGTAATGTATTTTTTTGGCTTTTTAAGTCTATTCCGCTGTACTTTTCAGTATTTTTATGAATGACTGTGGCCAAACTTTCCGTCCCTCTTTCTTTCCTTTCTTTCTCTCCTTCCTTCCCTCTTTTCCTTCTTCTTTCCCTTTTTCTATCTTCCTTCTCCACCTGTTTCTTTCCTTCCTTCCTTTGCTCTTTGGTTTCATCCTTCCTTCTCTCTTTCCTTCCTTCCCTCTTTTGTTCCTTCTCTCCTTCCTTCCCTCTCTTTCCTTTCTTCTTTCACTTTATTTCCTTTTCTCCTTCCTTCCTCCCTTCCCTCTTTCTATCCTTCCTTCCTTCCCCCTTTGTGTATGTGTTTTGTGTGTATATATGCATATATGTGTATGTATATATTTGTGTATGTGTGTTTGCATGTATATATGTGGTTTTGCGCATGCGTTGTAATGGGTTTTTTTTGTTTTTGGCTTTTTAAGTCTCTTCTGCTGTGTTTCTCAATGTTTTTATGAGTGATGGACACTCGTTGGCTGGATTGGTGTATTGTGTCCAAATTTGGTGTCAATTCGTTCAGTGGTTTTTTAATTATGTTAATCCCACAAACAAGCATTACATTTTTATTTATATAGATGGTACATCATAGTCCGGGAAGTCTCCAAAAGGTATTCTGTTTCTTTTAACACACTCATTTTGATCAAAAAGAAAGCATTTGGGGAAACTGCATGCATTCAATTTTACAAATTGAAGGAAATATAGTCATAATAAAATAATGAAATGAACTAGATTTGAAGATTTGTTCAAAACTTAGAATTTAAAATTTAAAGTTGTGCTCAAGTTAAATATTCTTTTCCATGTTCTTACATTATGATCCTCGAAGTCTGACAATTGTAAAACTTGGCAATGTATTTTAATTCATTTATCTTTATAAACAAAAGAAACCCAAGATCTGGGAAAATACTATAACAGAATATTGAGAATCCCTGATATACATAAACATGCTGAGTTTCAATTACCTGTATATACCTGAATATAAAAAAAAGACGATGACTCCTTATCAACCATATGGGCTACACCACAAGGCAATTTATAGATAGAATCAATATATAGATAGATATTAACAATATTTTAACAATATTTGAATGTCTCTAAAAGATAATATCTACCTCATTTTTAAAAAATATGATAGCTGATGGATGAAATGTTGATTTAGTATTTGTAATTGTGGAATAGTTATCAAAATTATTATTTAAGATTTGAGCTTTTAATTTATATCCATTTTTTAAAATGCAAAGGAATCAGAAAGATGTCTTCCAACCGTTTCCATTACCAGCAGTGATGTAGTCATGGGGGGGGGGGGGGGGGATAGATGTTGGCTACCAGTCCCATCAAATGCACCTACCCCAGGTCTAGTCCATCCTTAACCTTTGCAGACCATCTGGTATATGTGAGGGTAGTGAGTAAATATTTGCATGCAGTTTTGCTGCTCCCCAGCCCAACAGTGTGAACTTAGGCATGATTAAAGCCATGACAGAGTCTCTCACTCAGAATCTCTGTCACTATTTCGGCAGTAATAGGAGCCCCTTCCCAGCCTATGGTCCTTGGAGGAGCATCACACTTACCTGCAGATAAGTGGAAGAGCAAGGGCACAGGCCACCTGGTCTGATTCAGAGCCCGAAAGCAGCATATGAGTGAGGACACCTACACCGAAGGGGGAGTCTGCCTGTACACAAAGGTTCATCAGTAGGGTCTCTCCTGGAAGGAAAGGGGAGAGGAGAGCAATGTGTCAGAAACAGCACTCAGCACACTGCCCTCCCAACTGGAGCGGGTATTTATTCCAACTCTGAAAGAGGAAGGCTACCTCTCCTGAGGACCATACATCACACCACCCTATTAGACTTTTTCTTATCACAAGAGCTTTAATACCCAAGTTACTCACATCTACTTCAGATGTTCTATATATTGCTAAGCCACAGCACGAAGAAGTGGTTCTGAGGTTTACTGAACCCTGACTAACACCACATCCTGGTGTGGGGACGAGAAAGCAAGAATCATTAATTCAAACTAGAACCATTAGCTTCCTAAGGGTTGAAGAACCTACCAATACTGACCACCAAGACAAGAAGTAAAGATCCAGGAAGAGGAGCACTTCCTAGGTCATGGAACCCAGATAAATATTGAGTTCAGTCTTACACCCAAAGATGCTACAGTTGGCAATCCATCGGCTATAGGCTGCATGCAGCCCAAAGGGCATTTTGGTTGCTCACTTCCACTATGAAATCCAATCTGCTCTCCTGAAACCCCCAGGTAAGTTCCTCACTTCCCTTCTTCAAACACAGTGAAGCATCAGTTGGGGACACCGCCCCCCAGCACCAACCACCGCTCTGGACCGGAATGGGGGGGGGGGGGCAGGGGACAGTCCCATCTTGTCTCCTGTGCTATGCTAATAATATAATATATTGTATATAAATGTAATAATTATAATATTATAATGTAATACAATATAATACTAATAATATATTTTAATTATATATTTATATTACACGTAATATTATTAATAATATTACAATATAATGGTATATAACAATATAGTAATATTTAATACCGATATTGTACTATGCTAATAATATAATATATTGTATGTACATATATCTTGTGAGCCGCTCTGAGTCCCCTTTGGGGTGAGAAGGGCAGCATATAAATGCCATAAATAAATAAATGTTTGCCACCCACTTCACTTTCCTTCATGTTACACTTCATATCTCTTCATGGGGAGCCTTTACCTCTATTTACGTACTGTCTGTCTTTGTTAACTGTATAATGGCATTGAATGTTTGCTGTATATGTGTACTGTAATTCATCCTGAGTCCCCTTGGGGAGATAGGGCGGAATATAAATACACTATATTATTATTATATCCTCTCCTTCTTGATTGCCTCCCATGCTGCTCTCTCTCCCTGCTATAGGTTCTCAATCTATCCATCCCTTCTCCAAATTGCATCAGAGGAAGCCACTCCAGGCATTACTAAACTTCCAGCAGTAACAAAAGCAGCCCCCGATGGAGTCTAGGATTGATCCCATGCGGCTTTTGGGGCTGGGGAAGTTGCTCACACTTATCTTAGCCCACAGGCTTAACTGACAAAACACATACCAAGTTCCCTGAATCTTTTGGTATCACGCTGTTCAGCATCCTGGTTTCCTGGTTCTTCTGCTTCATGTTCAGCACCAACGACGGAAGCAGCCTGCTCAGGGGACACCCCAAGTATCAACCAAGAGCGGATGAGAGAGGGCCCATAGGAACGAACAAAGGCTTCCAGACAGGCTGGGTTGCAGGTGAGGCGATGCAGCAGCCGAAGGCAGCGAGATGAAGGGGCTGGGCTCCCAGTCACATAGCGCAGCAACCCTTTCAGTGTGGTCGGCGTAACCAAGCTGCGACTGGGGTCTTCAACTTGAGAAAATCGGGACAGGAGCAGCAAGGCTGGGGCTTCAGGAGCCTGGAGCTCTCTGTCACTCACATAATGAGACAAAGAGAGTGGGAGGGCCAAGGAAAGCAAGGGGGACGAGTTCTCGCCAACAGGGCGTGATACTTGGGGAGGCGTCACTTGCTCAGGTGTTGACCGAAACTTAGCACGACGTTTCCAGCAAGTGGTAGGTGTCCTGCACTCATCAGGAGAGCCTGGAAGATTCTGCAGAGTTGACCGCTGGGGGATCAAAGAAGTCTCCTCTGCAGCTGCTGGTCTGGCAGAAGCTTTGGGCAACAGCTGGTTTTGATCATCCTTCCTTGGAGCAGCTATCATAGGGACTGAATGCACATTACTGGGCCCAGGCTCATTCTGGTCTGTTACCAAGGCAATCTCAGTGGACTTCTTTATATCTCCTATGGCTGAATTTATCACCACCAAATCTGGTGTCACCACTAAAGACAATGAACATGGTGACTGATTCTCTTCTTGGAATCCATCTTCTTTATTCTTCACTGGTGAGGTCTCTATTAGTCCTCCCTGCTGCTCCTTGGTCGCACTTGAATCTTCTTCTTTGGTCCCATCTAAATCTGGCATCTCTGCAACTGATTCTGAATAGAGACCATCAGGTACATCCAACATAAGAGATGCTTCTTGGCATGAACTGTGCTCTGGTTGTATTCCCTCCCCCTCTGTTGAGTTTAATGTTTCAGAAGTATCTGGTTGCTCCACAAGAGGCAAATCCAATAACGTTGAGTTTAAAAAATCAGGAGATTCTGCCCTTGACTGGGTTTTTACATCAGAGGGAGCATGACAGGGTCCCAGGGTCTCATCTTGCAGTTCTTGATTTGGACTGGCACATCCTGGAGCATCCAGCTCAGAAAGGGTGGTATCAGGAGACCATTGAGGGGAAAGGTCAACTGGACTAGCTATATAGCCTTCAGAAATAAGCCAAGATCTGCATTGGAAAGAGAGAATACAGAAAAATACAGAGAAATATTCATTACGTATGTTGCATTAATCCCTTGCTGTTCCTTCAAAACAGTGGTTCTCAACCTTTTTTTGACCAGGGACCACTTTGACCAAAAGAGTTATGAATCAGTTTTTGGTCAACTTTAGATTTGGTTTGGTTATTTGGGGTGCTGATTCAGAAAACTGCATTGGATAGACCACATCAGCTTTAGTTTCTGACATAGAACATATGCCATCCAGTAGTCGCCATCTGCTTGTCCACAGAAAACTATATTGAATAAGCCTCAGCACTATAAGAGGGTTTTGTGAGACCAGTCATTCTCATTGCAATGGTGTAGTAATGGTGAGGCTGCAGGCCATAATTTAGTTCTTGCAGATCACTGGTGGTCCACGGACCAGAGATTGGCATCCACTGTTTCAAAGTGATAGTAGGGAATTTGGAATGAGACTACTGCTTGAAAAAGTTCCTTTTCGGGACTGTAACTTCCAGAATTCTTCAGACAGCATAGGAAGGCTCTCATTCTCTTTTTTTTATTACTTGTACAATACTTCCACATCCTAGACATTGAATAACTACAGATTACATTAAATGCAAAGCTTTCCATCAGCATATTTTCAAACATCCCATCTTTTTCTGATGTCCCTCCAGATGTTTGAATCTCAATTCCCAGCTGTTCTTTTATGAACACTCTCCAAAAAAAGAAGGCACCCTGCTCAAGAAACCATTTACCTGAGGCTCTGAAAGCTGGAGGATTCTGCCCCAGGCGTAGCCTGCTCCCCACGTCGCCCCTCTACAGGGAAGTCAAAAGAAGCTGCATCTCTCTCATCTTCCTGTTCCTCATCCTCTTCCTCCTCTCGCACCTGCCCTCTCAACTGGCCCAGCACTGCCAGCTGTCCTACCAGCAAGGGCACCAGTCCTCCAGCCTGCAGCACTTCCAGGGCATCTTCATCATAGAAGAAGGCCACAAAGGCCACTACCACACGGGCATGAGAGGAACTCTGGCACCGGTCCCGCAGCAGGGATAGCAGCAGCTCTAACCCCCCAGCTTCACGGACCCGGCTTCTGTTGACAGCCTCCCGGCAGAGCAGGCAGAGAGCTTTCACCAGCGGATAGAGGTAGGCCCCAGGTGCTCCTGCTTCCTTTCGGCGGCGGATTTCCCCAACCAGCACTTCCACCCCTCCGGCATTGCCGATCACTGGCCTCAACATTCCCTGCAGACAAAGATTGGCGAGGGCCAAGAGGGCAGATTCCCGCACAGGCCGCTTGTCATGGCTGGCCAAAGCCACAAGGACTGGGATCCCTCCACCTAGGCTTAGCTGTTGAGCGCAATCCCGGCTGCAACCCTTGGTGAGCTCAAGGAGGGCGCGCACCGCCGCTGCCACCAAAGCAGCATCATCGAGGGAGGAAGCCAAGCGTTCAGCAATGGGGCGGACTGCTCCCTGCTGGGCCAAGACCAGGCGATGGACAGGAGTATCAGCCAAGTATCGCACCGCCCTTATGGCACTCTGCAAACACTCGCTGTCCTGGGAGGTAGTGAGGACTTGGACAAGTGGGGGCACAGCACCTGCAAGAGAAAGACAGGAGGTGGGATCCAGGAGGAAAACAACTCTGTTAGGAAACATAATTATTGCCAGGTTTTTTGTTAGACAAAAAACTGCCAGGCCCATCCATCAGCTGCCAGGTATTTTGGATTTCTTAATGGATTTTAAGATACTTGCATATATATACGGTGATATCATGAAGATGGGGACCAAGTCTAAACATGAAATTCATTTATTTTTACATATATACTTTTTGTGGATAAAGTATATATGATTTTATACATAGTATTTTTAATCCTTTTCTGCATGAAAGAATGCTTGTGTACACTGAACCACTAGAAAGAAAAATGTCACTATCAGCCACCCAGATGCAGAGTCAACCTTAAGAAATGGGGCTACATGGTGGAATCCACGACATGCGAGTGTGGAGAAGAGCAAACCACAGACCAGCTGTTGCAATGCAACCTGAGCCCTGCTACATGCACAATGGAGGACCTCCTTGCGGCAATACCAGAGGTACTCCAAGTGGCCAGATACTGGTCAAAGGACATTTAATTAACTACCAAGCTTGTAAACGTTGTGTTTTGTCTGTTTGTTTGTTTGTTTTGTTGTTAGAAATGTAATACAATGGTCTGGTTGCCCCTGACATGATAAATAAATAAATAAGCCACCCAGATAAGGGTTACTCCACCTGATTTTTGTGATTGAAGAGAAAAAGAACACTATTTTCTCTTTAAAGAAAGGGGAATGGAAATAGTTGTCACCTCTCTTGTTTTCAGATTAATAGAAAGGCTTATTACACAAGTCGTCTGTGTATATATAAAGGATGCCTGATCTGACCACTGAAACACATGCCTTAATTGCATCCTGTTTAGAGTACTTTAATGCACTCTATACGAGACTGGCTCTGAAGAATGTTTGTAAAATTTAGTTGATATAAAGAGCTATAGCCAGACTGTTAACTGGGGATCATACAACTCTCCTTCTTCAACAACTCCAATAGCTGCTGATCTATTTCAAGGCAGAATTCTAAGTACTAGTGGTGACTAACAAAGCCCAGTACAACTTAGATCCAGACTAAAAGATAGGCTGTAGTTTCCCCCATTAGCTTGCCTGAGCCCTTTAATCTGCAGGAGAGGCCTTTATTTCAGTCCCACCGTGACAGGCACAGTTGTCCTGACACGACAAATAAATAGGCACAGTTGTCCATGGCTGCCCTAGACTTTGGAATTCCCTCTGTAGGAAGTTTTGAATGCTCCTTGGTGTCCTTCCATCAGCAGGTGAAGCCTTTTTATTCAGACAGCCTTTTCAAATGAAAGTCTACTAAGAAAAAGTCTGCAAAAAGATTCTATTCTGTTTTAAACTGTACTGATTTAAAGGCTGTTATATTTTCAAAGTGTGCCGATCAAATTGTTTTAATATGGTTAATAATTAAATTCTTATAAACTGTTGGCTTTTCGTGTTTTTAATTGCATTATGACCTCTGTATCTGCAAGACTGGTATCCAGTTTCATTTCTCTATGTCTAACAAAATATGGCTTCTCTAGGCAGTTTCTAGATCCTCCAGCACAACACTATAGTATTCTTGAGCCAGCAGTCCTTCATTTCAATTGTTTGTTATTATGGAAAATTACACATATCCATGCAAAATCCAGGAATATATCCCTGCAGATACAGGAGTCATGCTGTATCGTAATTATTGTAAGCCACCTTGAGTCCCGATCTTGGAGGGAACGTGGAAAAAATAGAAGGTGGCAACTGTAATGGTGATAATGAACCTGAGATAGTACACTCAGTTGTAACATAACTAACCTTCCAACCACACCCCCTCCCCTTCACAACCCCAATGCACCCTCCCACATTTAACCTGCTTCGTGGATAGCTTGGCAGTTCTCCGAATCGACAGCCAAGTTGCCGAGAGCCCGTGCTGTTCGGTTCTGGATACTTTCCACAGCAAGCGATTTCAGGATAGCAACTATAAATACACAGAATGGGAAAGGGGGAATAATCCAGCTGTAAAAGCATGAATGGCTTCCAGAGTGGTGGCTGTGTGAGTCTTTTACAATTATAAACAATAGAGATAGATTCCTAGCTCTATCTCTTTGACAAAAAAAACAACTGGAGTGAGGGAAGCTTCTTCAGACAGAACATCATCTGAAGTATGATTTCCAGACACCGCTACCATCAAATCTGTTCCAACGAATATAAACCACAAGCCTTCGTGCCAAAACGCATCACTTGATATGCCAGAGAGCCCAGTATCTGCTATATGATAATAGTTTATTCATGGGAGAAGCTTTAAGTCTCTTTCACAGTGCCGACAGACTGCATACATTTTGCTTCCTTGTTACACATAACATGTGAGGTCTTGCCTAAGGGTGAATCAGTACAGTTCTAAGCTTTTAAGACTATCACTAACCTCCCTGAGAAAGAAAAAACAAAGTTTTCACCCAGTTTAGGGCCCAGAGAGTATTACAGCATAGATTAGAATAAAGCTGTACAATGAAGGAAGCTATCCTAATTGAACACAACTGTAAAAGCTTTTTTAATACCAGAAGAATAAAAAATATAGTGTGCATACTCTCTCACACCCTGTTAAAAGCTCCTAAAAATGGTCTGTCCTCAATGAGGAACCAGGAAGGTCAAAAGGAAACTCCTAACAGATACTTATCTCCTGTCACTTGCCTCATTCTCCTTTACTCTGTTTTAAAGATGAGCTACTGGCATTTACACATTAATAGACAGGTGGCGTGCCAACTGTAGAAATAGCAGAAAGCAAATTATGACAAGCTGAGACATATTCCTCAGCTGCAACCCTGAGGAGATGAGGCTGCATATCACACATACCCTATTTAAACAGTCGTGAATCAAACTGGAGATTCTTGGTACTTCCAAAGTTGAGAAATGTGGCTTGATGCAGCACAGAGCTCACAATCTCCAAAAGGGTCAGATGTGACTGTTACAGATTGCCAAACCCTGTCTAGGGGTGCATTTGCATGGTAGAACATTGCCGTGCATCAAGTCACGGTAGTCAAAGTGATGTCAAAACATCTGGGAGACACCATTTTTATCCTTGGCCTTCATTTCTGAATAATAAGCCTGAACATGACACAGAAGGCCAGGGTTTGACTTCCTGCTCAGCCATGAAAACCCTCCGGGTGACCATAGATGAGTCACATATTCTCAGACTCAGAAAACCACATGACAGGGTTGCCATAAGCAGGAAATGACTTCATGGCACCCAACAACAGTGACACACAGCTATGCTGCTCCAATATATTAGTAGTGGGACCCTACCTCTTGCCAAGACATGAAAGGCGTCCTTGACAAACTCTGAAGACCTCTGTCTCCTATCCCATTGGTTTTCTTTTGTACTAAAGTGTACTAATAATATTACCAACTTTTGTCTCCTGTATTATTAGTATTACTCCCAGTGTGGCATATCTGTGATGTAGAGCTTTGGGTACCCTATAAGAAGAGGATTATTATTTTTATTATTAATATCCTGATTTCCTCACTTCATGTATTATTAGTATTACTCCCACTATGGCATATCTGTGATAAATAGTATTATTAATATTATTATAATTTATTATTATTATCATCATCAGCCTGCTTTCCTCTCTTCATGTATTATTATTACTCCCGATATGGGATATCTGTGATGAAGAGCCTTGGGTACCCTATAAGAGAGGAAAGAGGATTATTATTATTAATATTATTATTAATATCCTGCTTTCCTCTCTTCGTGCATTAGTAGTATAATTCCCAATATGGCATGTATGTGATGAAGAGTCTCAGGTGCCCTATATGAAGAGAGGTAATATGATTATTATTGTTATTACTATGATGATGATTATTATTATCAGCCTGCTTTCCTCTCTTCATGTATTATTATTACTCCCAAGATGGGATATCTGTGAAGAGTCTTGGTTACCCTATAAAAAAGAGGACTATTATTATTATTATTATTATTATTATTAATATCCTGCTTTCCTCTCTTCATGCATTAGTAGTATCATTCCCATATGGCATATATGTGATGAAGAGTCTCAGGTGCCCTATATATAGAGAGGAAAGATTATTATTATTATTGTTATTATGATGATGATGGATTGTTATTGTTATTATTATCAGCCTGCTTTCCTCTCTTCATGTATTATTATTACTCCCGATATGGGATATCTGTGATGAAGAGCCTTGGGTACCCTATAAGAGAGGAAAGAGGATTATTATTATTAATATTATTATTAATATCCTGCTTTCCTCTCTTCGTGCATTAGTAGTATAATTCCCAATATGGCATGTATGTGATGAAGAGTCTCAGGTGCCCTATATGAAGAGAGGTAATATGATTATTATTGTTATTACTATGATGATGATTATTATTATCAGCCTGCTTTCCTCTCTTCATGTATTATTATTACTCCCAAGATGGGATATCTGTGAAGAGTCTTGGGTACCCTATAAAAAAAAGAGGATTATTATTATTATTATTATTATTATTATTATTATTAATATCCTGCTTTCCTCTCTTCATGCATTAGTAGTATCATTCCCATATGGCATATATGTGATGAAGAGTCTCAGGTGCCCTATATATAGAGAGGAAAGATTATTATTATTATTGTTATTATGATGATGATGGATTGTTATTGTTATTATTATCAGCCTGCTTTCCTCTCTTCATGTATTATTATTACTCCCGATATGGGATATCTGTGATGAAGAGCCTTGGGTACCCTATAAGAGAGGAAAGAGGATTATTATTATTATTATTATTAATATCCTGCTTTCCTCTCTTCATGCAGGGGAATGTGGAATGCGGAAGAACTTCATCGGTGTCGTTGATGGACGATGAAAAGCAGCAGCTCCCCTGGCGGCCAGAAAAAAAAGTTAAATAGCCTTTGTCTGTTAAATGTTGTTTGTCAAACTGGCATTGAATGTTTGCCATATATGTGTTTACTGTAATCCGCCCTGAGTCCCCTGCGGGGTGAGAAGGGTGGAATTTAAGAACTGTAAGTAAGTAAGTAAGTAAGTAAATAAATAAATAAATAAAATTATTATTGTTATTATGATGATGATGGATTGTTATTGTTATTATTATCAGCCTGCTTTCCTCTCTTCATGTATTATTATTACTCCCAAGATGGGATATCTGTGAAGAGCCTTGGGTACCCTATAAAAAAGATTATTATTATTATTATTATTATTATTATTATTATTAATATCCTGCTTTCCTCTCTTCATGCATTAGTAGTATTATTCCCATATGGCATATATGTGATGAAGAGTCTCAGGTGCCCTATACATAGAGAGGAAAGATTATTATTATTATTGTTATTATTATGATGGATTGTTATTGTTATTATTATCAGCCTGCTTTCCTCTCTTCATGTATTATTATTACTCCTAGTATAGCATATCTGTGATGAATAATATCAGGTGCCTTATATGAAGAGAGGAAAGAGGGATGTTATTATTATTAATTTTATTATTATGGATATCAATAATAATAATAATAATAATAATAATAATAATAATATCCCGTTTTCCTATCTTCATTTAGGGCAGGCCTGGGCCAACTTGGGCCCTCCACTGTTTTGGACTTCAACTCCCACAATTCCTAATATGGCATACCGGTGATGAAGAGCCTCAGGTGCCTTATATGAAGAGAGGAAAGAGGGATATTATTATTATTATTATTATTATTACTATTATTATTATATCCCACTTTCCTCTTTTCATGTGATACTATAACTCCCAGTATGGCATACTGGTGATGAAGAGCCTCAGGTGCCTTATATGAAGAGAGGAACGAGTGATATTATTATTATTATTATTATTATTATTATTATTATTATTATTATTATATTCCACTTTCCTCTTTTCATGTGTTACTATAACTCCCAGTATGGCATAGTGGTGATCCCAGTATGGCATACCGGTGATGAAGAGCCTCAGGTGCCTTATATGAAGAGAGGAAAGAGGGATATTATTATTAATTTTATTATTATGGATATCAATAATAATAATATCCCGCTTTCCTCTCTTCATTTAGGGCAGGCCTGGGCCAACTCGGGCCCTCCACTGTTTTGGACTTCAACTCCCACAATTCCTAATATGTTAGGAATTGTGGGAGTTGAAGTCCTAAACACCTGGAGGCCCAAGTTTGCCCAGGCCTGCTCTAGGGGCCTGAGAGTGGCTTCCCCCACCCCTCCTCCTCCTCAGGCCTTCCAGGCTAGGCCTCAACGCAGCCTTGAGTAGCGCGGCCTGCCTCTCTCCTCTCTCACCGAGGGGCGGGATGCCTCCCAGCTGGCGGACGCGGGCGCGGCTCCCGCCTTCGGTGCAGCAGTTGCCGAGGATGCTGAGGGCCAGGTCGAGGGTGCGGCGGGGCCGGGGGGCGCCGGCCAGGACCCTCAGCAGCGGCGCCAGCCCCCCGCGCTCCCGGAAGCGGGCGATGCCTCCGGCCTCCTTGATGTGCTGCGTCCGGAGAGCCAGCAAAGCCTCGCCCAGGCCCGGCTCGGCGCCCTTGTGCAGCTGGGCCAGGCAGGAGCCTAAGGAGCCGCTCCCAGGCCCCTTCCCGGTCCCTGGGCCTTTCGAAGGCGGAGCCGCCATCTTGGCGAAAAAGAGGCCCTTCTTCTCCAACTCAGCAGCGCCCGGGACTACACATCCCGAAGGGCGCCGCGGGCCGCCATCTTGGCGCGGTGCCTGCCGGTCGCTGTAGTTTCTCCCCCGCCTATTCTCCATTAGTTATACAGAACATCGAGGGGGAAAAGGACTCGCGTCCCACAGTGCCACGCGGCAGCTATTGATTGACGTAAAAGGAAGCAAGAAGGCGGGATGGGAAGTAAAGGTTCCAGTATGGCATAGCCTCAGGGGACCTTCTGTCTCTCTCATCTCTCTCTCTCTCTCTCATAGAATCAAAGAGTTGGAAGAGACCTCATGGGCCATCCAGTCCAACCCCCTGCCAAGAAGCAGGAATATTGCATCCAAATCACCCCTGACAGATGGCCATCCAGCCTCTGTTTAAAGCTTCCAAAGAAGGAGCCTCCACCACACTCCGGGGCAGAGAGTTCCACTGCTGAACGGCTCTCACAGTCAGGAAGTTCTTCCTCATGTTCAGATGGAATCTCCTCTCTTGTATTTTGAAGCCATTGTTCCGCGTCCTAGTCTCCAAGGAAGCAGAAAACAAGCTTGCTCCCTCCTCCCTGTGGCTTCCTCTCACATATTTATACATGGCTATCATATCTCCTCTCAGCCTTCTCTTCTTCAGGCTAAACATGCCCAGCTCCTCTATCTCTCTTTCTCTCTCATCTCTCTCTCTCTTATCTCTCTCTCATCTCTCTCTCATTCTCTCTCTCTCTATCTCTCTCTCTCTCTCTCTCTCTCTCTTCTCTCTCTCTCTCTCTTCATCTTCTCTCTCTCTCTTTCTCTCTCTCATCTCTCTCTCTTCTCTATCTCTCTATCTCTCTCTCTATCTATATCTCTCTCTCTCTCTCTCTCTCTCTATCTCTCTCTCCATCTCTATCTCTCTCTCTCTCTCTACTCTCTCTATCTCTATCTCTCTGTCTCTCTCTCTTCTATCTCTCTCTATCTCTATCTCTCTATCTCTATCTCTATCTCTCATCTCTATCTCTCTATCTCTCTCTCTCTATCTCTACCTCTCTCTCTACTTCATCTCTCTCTCTCTCTCTACTCTCTCTATATCTATCTATATCTATAAAAATGCTCTGTGCATAATGAGTACCTTAAAAACAAAAGAACCAATGAACGAAATCACACCAAATTTGGCAACAAAACGTCTCACAACACAAGGAGTGACCATCACTCAAAAAATTATGCTTTTGTCATTTGGGAGTTGTAGTTGCTGGGATTTATAGTTCACCTACAATCAAAGAGCATTCTGAACTCCACCAATGGAATTGAACCAAACGTGGCACACAGAACTCCCATGACCAACAGAAAATACTGAAAGGGTTTGGTGGGCATTGACCTTGAGTTTTGGAGTTGTAGTTCACCTACATCCAGAGAGCACTGTGGACTCAAACAATGATGGATCTGGACCAAACTTGGCATGAGTACGCAATATGTCCAAATGGAGTTTGGGGGAAATAGATCTTGACATTTGGGAGTTGTAGTCACTGGGATTCACAGTTCACCTACAATCAAAGAGCATTCTGAACCCCACGAATGACAGAATTGGGCAAACTTCCCACACAGAACCCCTATGACCAACAGAAAATACTTAAGGCCATCCAGTCCAACTCCCTTCACCAGGGCAAGAAAGCGTAATCAAAGCCCTCCTGACAAAGAGCCATCCAGCCATAGATATAGATAGATATATATGATTCACACACAGAGATATAGTATCATAGATTTGAAAGGGACCCTTAAAGAAGGACAATTATATGTTCCATGTTCCAGAGTAGGCAAACCAGACACTCTCCACATCAACACTGACAAAGAAACAGCAAGAAATACTGTTTACCCACCAGCATACAGAAATTACATATATTCGAAGCCAACACTTTCTCATTACTTTATTTTCCACCTGGGCCACAGTAACACGTGGCAGGAGACAGCTAGTATATATATACAGGGGGGGGGCACGGGGACAGAGACAGAGAGACAGTGACGCTCATGGGAACTAGTCGGTCCAGCGGCTGAGCTCGCGTCTCTGGCAGGTCTGTGGCCGTTACCACCCCCAGCTCCTTCAAGGTCAGTCCAGTCACTTCAAGGATGCCATCCATCCATCTTGCCCTTGGTCGGCCCCTCTTCCTTTTGCCTTCCACTTTCCCCAGCATAATTGTCTTCTCTAGGCTTTCCTGTCTCCTCATGTTGTGGCCAAAGGACTTCAGCTTTGCCTCTAGTATCCTTCCCTCCAATGAGCAGTCGGGCTTTATTTCCTGGAGGATGGACTGGTTGGATCTTCTCGCAGTCCAAGGCACTCTCAGAACTTTCCTCCAACACCACAGTTCAAAAGCATCAATCTTCCCTTCGCTCAGCCTTCCCTAATGTCCAGCTCTCACATCCGTAGGTTACTACAGGGAATACCTTTGACTAGGCGGATCTTTGTTGCCAGTGTGATGTCTCTGCTCAGTGTGACAACTCCCAAATGTCAAGGTCTATTTTCCCCAAACCCCATCAGTGTTCACATTTGGGCATATTGAGTATCCATGCCAAGGTTTAGATCCATCATTGTTTGAGTCCACAGTGCTCTCTGGATGTAGGTGAACTACAACTCCAAACTCAAAGTCAGTGCCCACCAAACCCTTCCAGTATTTTCCGTTGGTCATGGGAGCTCGGTGTGCCAAGTTTGGTTCAATTCCATTGTTGGTGGGGTTCAGAATGCTCTTTGTTTGTAAATCCTAGCAACTACAACTCCCAAATGACAAAATCAATCCCCCCGTCAACCCCACCAGTATTCAGATTTGGGCATACCAGGTATTTGTGCCAAATTTGCTCCAGTGAATGAAAATACATTCTGCAGATCATTATTTACATGGTGATTCATAATGTTAGGGTTATGGTTGGGGGGTCACCACAACATGAGGAACTGTATTGAGGGGTCGCGGCATTAGGAAGGTTGAGAACCACTGATCTAATCAATAGTGATATGTTATTGTTGTTTTATGTTAGGTTTCATATGTATGTGAGGCATTAAATTTTGCCATAAGTATGTTGGAAAATGCTTTAAGTCCCCCCCTGGGGTGAGAAAAGCGTTATGCAAGTGAAGTAAATAAAATAAATTAAGCTGCATTATATGAGTTTGCAGTAACCATATAATGCAGGCCTGGGCAAACTTTGTCCCTCCAGGTGTTTTGGACTTCAACTCCCACAATTCCTAACAGGCTACTGGCAGGGACAAAGTTTGTCCGTGCCTAATATAATGCATTTCCAAACTGCATTACATGGCAATGTCGATCCAGCCTGAGGAGCTACTGTAGCTGCCTTTCCCTTTACTCTCTAATTTTCCAAGGAAATCTTACTATTGTGAGCCATGCATCTTCAGAGCAAAATCTTCATACTCTGCAACGGTTGAAATGAATGCATTGGTTGTGTAACTCTGGACCCAACGAACCTTGAGAAGCTGGAATGCTCAGGACAATGCCTCCTTGATGGAGGAAACCCCCTTTTCAGGAATCAGCCCAGCTGCATCTCCTATCAAACTGGCTTCAGCTGGAGGTATTGAGGCATCTTCACCTTCTCTGTAGCAATGATTGAACGCCCAAAAGACCTTGAAAACAGAAAGCTGATGACAGTGTAAACTTCAGCTATCTGTAACCACGGGTAGAGTCACGTTTGTGCGGACGGATTGCAAAGGGGTCAACGGTGGTTGGGATAAGGGTTCTTTCCCCCCCCAAGAGACAACAAAGTGACATTTTCCCCAAACACAAGTCAGATGTTCTTTGAGTCCAGGATGACATTATCAGCAGGGCAATCTGTTGGCTAAACTAGAAAGGGGAAGACAGCTGATGGGTTGCTGTTTTCCCAAGTTCCTTTTCTACTTTGCGCTGTTTCAGGCAAACACGGAGGAGACACAGGAAGGAGGATGCAATGTTTGCATAGTGTTTAGGTAGAGCTTCTCTGCACGTAGGCCAAGCGACATGTAGGTTGAAGTCTGGGAAACAATAACTCAGTCTGGACCTATACATGGAGTGGATTTTACATATATCAGACCTTTGAATGAAATATTTGAGGGAGACATAGCAGAAATTGTCATTTTTAATGACTCCAAGGAAAGACTGACTTATAGAAGTTGGTTATACCTAAAAGCTGATATGCCAAGACACATAAGAACCTCTTTTACCAGGGCAAGATTTGAACAAATTGAATCCATGGAGGGACACAGCAGATTCAATCATATCCCACATGAAGAAAGACTATGTATCTGTGGTGCCCCTGAAGTCAAAAATCTGAACCACACTTTACGTCACTGCAACCTATATGAAGGAGCCCCCGGTGGCACGATGGGTTAAACCCCTGTGCCGGCAGGACTGAAGACCGACAGGTCGCAGGTTCAAATCCGGGGAGAGGCGGATGAGCTCCCTCTATCAACTCCAGCTCCTCATGCGGGGACATGAGAGAAGCCTCCCAGAAGGATGATAAAAACATCAAATCATCCAGGCGTCCCCTGGGCAACATCCTTGCAGATGGCCAATTCTCTCACACCAGAAGTGACTTGCAGTTTCTCAAGTCGCTCCTGACACGACCAAAAAAAAAACTATATGAAAAAGAAAGGAAACAATACTTATGGCCTTTTATTTGCAATAAAACAAGTTGGGATACAGCGGCCAAAACCTCATTTTTGTTGGCTCGTTATAACCCCATTCTGACAACAAAAGTTGCCCTTTATTTGTTTAAAGCTGCTAACAGGAGATTGGAGTACATAGATCAGATTGGGGTGCAGTGTAGGGGAGATGAAGATAGCTGATGCATATATATATATGGCTACCTGTATATTTGTATTTTATTTTAAGAGGACTATATGTATGGTGTATGTGGTATGTTGTGCTGACTGTCTGTTTTTGATAAGGCCAACTGGCTAATCAATAAAAGTTGTTGTTGTTGTTATAGAAAAGATGTTATCCTGTTCTGACATTTACCCCAAAGAGTCTTTACATTGCCATAAAATAAGCGAGTCAGATGGAGACGATAAATGATA